AAGGATGACAGGGAGAAAATAGGCGTATATGATAGCATGGCATTCAGCTGTCACTGAAGAATCCTCTGCCTGGCAATAACAGTAGCTGCCACCACAACAGCAGTTAGCATTTACTGACAGCTCACTATGTGCTGGGCACTGTTCCCGGCCCAAGAGGTGAATTAAGTCATTTAATCGTCAGTGCCCTTATTAATCTCATTAAACAGATGAGGAGCACTGGTCTGGAGTCAGAGCCCTGCGGGCTGTGGCGACTCCCATAGGCCCTTGTGCACACTCTCTGATGAGAACAGAGTTGGCCAGGCTGAGAACCCAGTGCCCACCTTAGTTCCATATAGAAAGGGTCCAGGAGTCCCTGGTGAGGCCAGGGCCCCAGGTGACTTCTTACGAGACACAGGGGCAAGTGCCTCTCCCTGACTAGGTAATCTCCCACAGGAGCCAACTGGACCAAAACATTTCCTCACTCTGAATGGTGTGCCCGATACCAACTCCGTGCAGTTATAAAATACCAGGCAAATGTGAAGTATTATGATTACTGCCATCACCACCTGCCTGGAACATTTTAATTCCTCCTTTGGAAATAGCCCAATTTCCCTCAGGGGACAAGAAAAACAAATCACCTCTTTTGACCACTTAACTGATCTTAAGAAACAGAAAAAAACACATCAAACTCCCTGTTACCATGAAAATTAACGGGATCTTTGAAAAATAAAACTGTTCTTAGGTGTTCAGCCAGTTGGCTGAAAGGGCATATGGGACTTTCCCTGTGTGCCCTCTCCAGGAGCAACTTGAGAAACAGGGACACAAACAACCGCTCCCAACCCCAACTCGATGTTGATAGGCGTTCCAATCTCAGAGAAATGGCTCCCCCTACTGAGCTTGGGAAAAATAACAGCTTCTAGACACCGCTGGGATGCTGTTAACATCTATTCTTTNAGTAATTCAGCGCCCCCAGACAAGAGGAGGAGAGCCTCTCACTTAAAGCGGGGTCCAATGGCTGCCACATGCCGGTTCATGCTCCCCTTGGCCCCGCCGATGTTCAGGGACATTGAGCGCTGCAGCAGGCTGGAGAAGATCTCTACTTGGTCAGAGCTGCAGTACTTGGCGATTTCAAACCGCTGCACCAGGAACTGAATGGAGAGGAGAACACACTGCCATGCTGGGGCCTGGCCAGCCAACCCCATAGCCAGCGTGACCAGCTGAGGAGGGGCTCTGGGCTCAGGAGGGTGGGTTGGGATCCGAGGGAAGCAGGGAGAGGCAAGCAGGAGCCTGGGGAGAAGGATGAAATAGCCAATGCCTCCCCAGGTCAGACAATCTTAACCCTGGAGCCCTGTGCTCACTAAGCCACAGACCCCAGGGGGAGCCCCAACCCCCGCAGCTAGGGTGGATGGTGCATAGCTGAGCCTGGGGGAACAGTGGGGCCCAGGCACATACGTCAATCCAGATATAGTGAGGGGTCACTTCGGGAGCACAGGGTTTGGGCTGACTGGCTTCCGATGCTGCCAGGGGGTCTGCTTCCTTTATCTCCGCAGAAAATAGTCCAAACTTTTGCTCCACTGTCATCTGCCAGGCCCCTGCCATCTCCCGCATGAACTGCAAGTACATATGACTGTTAGCTCCTCGTAAAGCACAGAAAGGTGCTTACTAATTATTTTTAATTATAAAAGGGATAGATGCTCACTGAACAAAGTTGAGAAAACTGAGTAAAGTATGAAGAAAAAAATAAAGATCACTCATTATCCCACTTCCTAGCCTGTTTCACCAATAAGCCCACTCTTGAACGATCGCAAGGCCATGTTCTATGTGTTCTGCTTCGTGATGTCAGGCTCTGAGCTGGCAAAGGCTAAGCCGGATTCTGGCTCCAGAATCCAGTTCCTTTTCTCCACCCCTCATGGACCGTGCATGATGCCTTCAAGCCACTAACCAGGCTGAGGAATAAGCGGGAGGTGAGTGGAGTCTGCAAATGCTACCGGGCTGGGCAAAGGTTCTGCAGGGGAGCAGCCTCCCCTGTTGGCCTGACAACACCAGGCAGCGCCTTCAAGGGCATCTAGATGCCCCTGCAGAGAGGTGACAACTGAGGCTTGGTGCCCAGAGTAGACGCCCCGGGTCCCCGCCCAGTATCCATCCCCTCCTTCCTTATGGTTCTGTGTGGGTGGCCAAGTGGCCAGACACAAGTACCCTCACCCAGGCCTCTGCTGGTTGGGGTAGCCACAGGTTCTCATTAGCAGTAACGAGCAGGTGGGCATCAACTGGGCGAGGCCCTGGGGAAGAAGGGCAGGCCAGGTGGTGCCTGCGTTGGCCTTCTGCCCTCCTTCCTGCCTGGAGGCACAGGAGCCATCTGGAGGCCCTGAGGGCGAGGACGAAGTTCAGATGCTAAAGGTGGCAGAGTCACAGACAAGGGGCCAGGGATATCAAGCTGCCAGTAAGACGAGGAGGATGAAGCCCTGGTGGTCAAGGCACTGTGCCTGGTTTCTGTTTTCTGCAGCCATAGGTAAGTGTTGGGGTAGGTGAAGAAACTGCGGGGCTGCCAGGCCATGAGCCACCGCTGAGACCACATGCCCCTTCATTTGTTTGACAAGCCCATCCTGGTTGCTGCCTCTGGGCCAGGGCCTTCTAGGCTCTGGGAACGGAGCATGAATAAGACAAACACATTGACCCAGTCTACAGTGGGGACACAGACAATAAGAAAAGCAAGCTATAGACACTGGACACTGATCTCTGTTAAGGGGAAAACAGCCATGAAGGGGCTTGGAAGAGTGAATGGGTATGTTTCTGTGACATTCTAGATAGGGTGGGCAGGGGACAGCTAAGACAAGCCCGGGAGGAAATGCAGGAACAAGGTGTGTGGCTATGAAAAGACCATTGCCGGGAGAGGAAACAGCACTCACAGCCTAAAGCAGGAGCACACACAGAGGGCAGAGGTGGCAGGGACCCCCGTGTGCCTATGGTGGGGCAAGCGAGGAGAACAGAGGAGAATGGAGTCGAGGCGGCAGAGAGGCCTTGCGGGTCATAGGAACACATCGGCTTTCTACTCTGCATGAGCACAGGGTGGCACTGACAGGGCTGAGCACGGGAGGGGCCTGATTCAACCCATGTTTTATTGCCTAGCTCTGACTGTGTATAGAGAAGGTGTATAGAGGGGCCTGGGGGAAGCAGGGAGGCCAGGGGCTGCCTCCCTAGCCCAGGAGAGAGGTGAAGGAGGCTGCAGTCAGGGTGTAGCAGTTGAGATAAAGGAAGTGGTCAGCTTCTGGACATACTTCAAGGTAAAAGGTAAATCTGACATGATTTGCTGAAGATCATTTGTGAGGAGTGAGTAAAGGTGAGTCATAGATGGCTGTAAGGATTTTGTCTGAGCAGAGGGAAGGATTACGTTGGCATTTACAGAGATTGTGAGATAGGTAGAGGTCAGTGTGGGCCTAATTCCTTTGTTCTGAGTCATGAATTTGAGCCCCACACTAAGGGATCAGAGTTCTTTTCCACCTTAGTGGAATAAAGAACCCAGACCCCATGAGAAGTGTCCTCACACTGAAATGAGATCAACAAGCTCACTAGCTTTTTATCACCCCATGAATGCAAAAGATATCAAGACCCCATCAGCAATTGCCTCTGAAGTTGGGGTTATAGGTGAGTTTTATCTTTCCATTAGGCCCATACAGTCCAACTTTTTAATAGAAAAAATTAAAAACCAGAATCCAACAATACAAAAGACACAGAAACAAAAGTAGAAAAGCCTCCTCCTAGGGTGTTTCTGGGCCTGGACATCAGGTCCTCACAGAGGCAGAGATAGAGAGTGAGAGGAAACAGACGAC